CCATGTAGGGACCCACCCCTCCACCCTGGGGGTGTGGCCCGGCCCAGCAGAGCCCAGCAGCTCCCTACCAAATATGACTGGTTGAAATGGGACCCAAGACCTAAGCTGGTCCAATCAGAGTACATCTTCATTGGAACTTCGCCTGGGGCAAGCACTTGCTCTTTTTTGCTGAACTTGAACCTGGAAGGATGAAGCCCAGGGAGTGGCCTTCCTGGGAATGAACCAGACAGCAGAAGGCCAGGCAAAGGGGTCCAGGAAAGTGAGCGCCAATAATGCCATCTGAGCCCCCTCGATCACGCTGCAACTGAAGACATGATATTTCCAAACTGGAATCAGTAAATTTATTTTCTACTTAAGCAGGTTGAATCGGGTTTTCTGTTTGCAATAGCAAAGGTCCTGGCGAGCAGGGTCTGAGGCAGCTCAGGATCCCGAGTGGAGCAGAAAGACGAGGGCGGCAGGAGCCAGCTGCACCCCGGCTTCGGGCTGGCTGGGCAGCGCCCACAGACTTCTGGGAAATCTGATTGTTTTCTGTTGTCCCAAAAGGAGCATTAAGACCAGAGGGACACACTCCTGAGACACTCATATGAGCGCAGTAGAAGAACTTTCAGACAAGCAAGACCAGCAATACTGGAGTGGATGCCTTAGGGGGAGTGAGAGGCCCGTCCCTGGAGGCATACAAGTGGTGGCCGGCAACCATCTGGCCCAAAGTTTCCAAAGGAGATTCAGGGGTCGGGCGGGGCTGGGGTAATATTATTGGGTCCTGGGGCTCCCCTCCGGCCCCTGGGGAGGCAGGAGCATGCGGGGATCGGGACACAGCACCTACGGATTCACACCTTCGGACCCTCGGGGGCCTCCAGCACAGAGAAGACCATCAACCAAGCTCTGAGCACGCGCTAGGAAGCGCCACAGGAAGGGGGCAGCGTGGCCAGCCGGGGTGCCATCGGGTTCTGTTATTGGGTCCTGGGGCTCCCCTCCGGCCCCTGGGGAGGCAGGAGCATGCGGGGATCGGGACACAGCACCTACGGATTCACACCTTCGGACCCTCGGGGGCCTCCAGCACAGAGAAGACCATCAACCAAGCTCTGAGCACGCGCTAGGAAGCGCCACAGGAAGGGGGCAGCGTGGCCAGCCGGGGTGCCATCGGGTTCTGGGTGGGGGCCCTGGAGGGTCGGAACATCTGGCTGGGAAGACTGGGACACCTGGAGGGAGACAGGCAGGGTGAGAATGTGGGGACAGCCAGCTCGCAGCTTCCCGGGCTCACAGCTCATTCCCACCTTCCAGCTTCTGGTCAAGGTTGTCCGCCCGCCAGGACGGCCCCCCCTGCTCTTCCCCGACACCCGGTCCTCCCCGTCCTTCTTCTGCTCCAATCGTCTCACAGCTCTGTCTTCCCTGCCTCCCCCAGGATGTGGGGCTCGGTTCTCCCTGCCTGGACTGGGCTCCCCTAGGGGGCAGGGGCTGAGGTGTCTCTAACCCTTCTCTTCCCTGCCCTCCTGCAGGGAGGGCAGAGGGCGGGGCGGGGGGGGGGGCTCAGTGACACCCAGGCCTTGGCTCAGGTTACCTGGCTTCTTCTCATACCTTGGGCCTTCCCTCTGGGAACCCGGCTCACTGAGCTGCACTGGCTCAGGCAAATGGGGAAACTGAGGCCACTGCTTCTCCTCTTCTGTCCTGGTCTAAATACCACTCCCAGCGAAATGGAGGGCCCTGCCGGCCACAGTCTGCTGTGCGATAGGGGTGGGGGTTGGGGAGGGGCCTTACCCCTAGAGGATGCTGCAGGGGCGCTTCTGTGGCCGCGTGGGCTGGGGACACAGGACGGCCCGGATGGCCTCGTCGAAGACAGTCTTCAGGCCTCGCTGGGTGAGGGCCGAGCACTCCAGGTATTTCACTGAATCTGGGTGAGGCCGCGAGAGGGCAGAGGCCCAGGTCAGGGGAGGACCCCGGGCAAAACCCCCTCCCAAGACACGTGCCTGCCCCAGGCTGGGGGCCACCGGGGCTGTGCCGCGCAGAGCAGGGCACTGGCCTCTCTGTGCCGCTTTCTCATGCCTGGAACAGGGAGCCTGAGTTCAGTGGGAGGGTGACGACCCGCAGGAGCAGGTCTGTGTCTCTCCTGGACACATCAGCCCTTAATTTGCGGAAGGGAGGCGGGAGTTTGATACTTTCCCGGGAAGGAAAGGGCTCAAGCCCGTGACGGAATCTCTCCACGCTCAGCTTCTTCCAGAAAAGAGACCCACACCTGCCGCCCTGCTTCCCCCACGAGGCCTGCCCCACGCGTGGCCCACTCACAGGACCTCCCAAATGTCTGACCATTCCTTAGCTTCTCCCCATTTTCAAGATGAGGAAACTGAGGCTCCTCGAGGTGAGGGCGTTTGTCCAGTCACACACGACCCTGAGGAAGCCGGGGGCCCTCGGCCAGAGGACAAGAGGAGAGGCCCCCCCCCCCCCCCCAGGATGGGAGATTGAGCTGCCCCACAGCTCCTCACTCCAGGCTGGGGAGGAGCCCATGGGCAGAGGCAGCTGCTGCCTGGGCAGCTCTGCAGCCCCCACCCCCAAAGCCCTTGGCCTGGGCTGGTCCAAGACAAGTTCAAAGTCCCTGCCCCTGACACCCCCCACCCCCCGACTGGGATCATCTCCAGGAGAGATTGGCTAGAGGCCAAGACAGGACCCCAGGTCATCTCCTTACAGAGGGGAGAGGACTTTTAGGGACTCTGTGGGCGGCTTTGCAGGTGGGGAGACTGAGGCCCAGGGAGAGGCCACTGGCTCAAGGTCACACCGACAGTGCCAGAGCCTAGAGCAGCATCGGCTTCTCAGGCCCCTACTCATCCCAAAGCGCTTCTTTAAAGGGAAAGGGCTGAGGGCAGGCGGCAGCGTCAGCCTTGGTGGAAGGGGTCCAGGGGGACCGGCTGGTCAGAAAGAGAGAAGGCGGGGGTGCCATCCCCCATACTCGTGAGGGAAGACTGCGGGCCGGACCAGAGCCCCCAGGATGGGGCACGGGACCCAGGGCTTCAGCAGAGCAGAGGTCCCCGAGGGAAGATGGCCATGTCACTGGGCTAGTCACGGGAAGGGGGAGGTGGCAGCTGCGGTTTCTCTTCCTGTGAAGAGATGTGAGTCCCCAGGGCCCTCCCAGTTCCGGCGGAAGGAAGAGTGGTGGGGCTGAGGCAGGGATGGGGTGGGGAGGCCTCACTGATTGGGGGCGAAATCCTGGGCCTGCAGGACCCTGGGGTGAGGCAGAGCGCCCTGGGTAGCTGGGTCACTGCTCATAGTGGCCAAACCTACTAGTGGGCCTGGGCTCTTGGGCAAGTGTGCCCTGGGCTGTAGGTCGGTCAGGACCAGACTAGGAACACCATGGGAGAGGCCAGCCCATCAGTCATCGCTTCCCTGGTGCAAACAGCCCTGAGCCACCACCAGGAGGCCCCTAAGCCAGCAACTTCCTGTCCTGTGTTCAAATCCCAGCTCTGCCACCTACTAGCTAAGTGACCTTTAAAAAGCCGCTTTACTTCTCTGGGCAGTGATCAGGAGGCAGAGAGGTTGGGCGGGGGAGGGAGGTGAGGAGGCAGAAGGGAAAGCCTCACCCTGCAAACCCAAGGCAGAAGCGCCTCCTCTGGGAAGCCTTCCTGGAAAACCCAAGCCTGACTTGGCTCCTCTAAGCGACCACAGCACACCCCACTCCATTCCTGCTTCTCTCTGGGCAAAACACACTTTATTTCAAGATCTGATTAACTAGAGGCCAGTGCATGAAATTCGTGCACACTTAGGGTCCCTAGGCCTGGCCGGCAATCAGGGCCTTCTGGCTGCCGGCCGGGACCTCCCTTCCCTGGCTCCCGGCTGCCGGGGCCTTCCTTCATTCCACACTACCCCCTGGTGGTCAGCGCACATCACAGTGAGCAATCGGTCTCCTGGTCAAACTCCCATGGGGACAATTTGCATATTAGGCTTTTATATATATAGATAGCTAACACAGACAGATCCCCATGCGTGGGTGCTGGGAGCCAGTCTGTGTTAGTTACTACTAGGTGCCTCGTGTATTAATTCATTTAATTCTCCCAGAACTATTCCTATAGCCAGGTTTTACTGATGAGGAAACAGGCACAGAGAGGCTAAGTGATTGGCCCAGGGTCACACAGCCAGCACACGCACAGCCAGGGTTAGGACCGCACAGCCTGGTTCTGGAGCCATGTCTGCAGTCACGAGAGGCTGAGTTGGGGCTCCCCCAGCATCCAGGTCCCCTCTCTGAGCCCGAGCCCCATACCGATCTCCTTGGCCAGTGCCAAGCCCTGTGGGTAGGTGATAGGTGCCAGCTTCTTCTCCTTCAGCTTCTCGATGGTGTCCTTGTCGTCCCGCAGGTCCAGCTTGGTGCCCACCAGGATGATGGGTGTGCTGGGGCAGTGGTGCCGAACCTCGGGAAACCACTGCGTAGGCGTGGGGACGAGAGGGGCACGAGAGTGGGGGAGAAGAGGGGTGCCACGTCGTGAGAAGATAAGGGGCGGCATGAGTTTGTGAGAAGAGACGCGAGGTTGCACCGGGGCGGGGGGCACGTGGTTGCAGGAAAAGAGGAGGTGTGATTTTGTGCGGAGATAAGAGACAGGCATGAGGTTGTGCAGGGAGGAGAGAGGACAAGGTTAGAGAGGGCGGGCAATAAAGCTGACACTCCCAGCCCCCTCTGAGCCCCCCCCCCAGTCTCATCCCGGCATCTCCCCAGCACTGGTTGGCACTGCCCCAGGGACAGCTCAGCTCACCTTGGCACGGACGTTCTCATAGGAGGCTGGGCTGACGAGGGAGAAGCAGATGAGGAAGACATCCTAGGGACAGAGCAGGCCAGGCTACCCGTGAGGGGAGGCCCGGGGTGCCCCACCTGCAGCCCCTCCACACACCTGGCAGCACTGAGCAGTGGCGCAGCCCAGGGTAAGGGGGTAGGGTCCAGGCTGCTGCCTGTTTATCCAACACCTCCCAAAGGCCAGGCCCTGTCCTCACACAGACCCGGCAGCAGGACTGCCGCCCCATTCCACAGATGGGAAGAGTGAGGCCACAAAGGTTAGCGGGTTTGCCACCTGGAGCTCCAGAATCCACACTCCTAACCAGGCACTCACTACCCCACCATCCGGTTACCAGCCCTGGAGGGAAGGTCAAGGGTGGAAGGGGTGGGAAGTGGTGGTTGCCCAGCAACCACAGAGCCACCTGCAGGCTTACCCGGTCTCTTCTCGCCCCACCCAGCTCACCCTATCGAAGCCCCATCCTGGGTCTGCCTGCCCCACCCACAGGGAGCCCAGTGGCACCAGAGCCCCTGGTGGGTGGGACTGGGAAGAGGGCAGAGTGGTCAGGGGGACTGAGGGAGGGGTCCCTGGCTGTGCCTGGGGAGGACAAGGCAGAATCCTGGAGCTGGGCCTTAGGGGAGGGTCAGGGTTCACCAGGCCAAGCTGACCCAAGGGCACCCCACGCAGAGGGAACAGGGGGAGCAGAGGCCGGCCCCCAAGAAAGGCTCAGGGAGCTCACCGTCTGCGGGTAGGAGAGTGGCCGGAGGCGGTCATAGTCCTCCTGCCCGGCAGTGTCCCACAGCCCCAGGTTCACCGGCTTGCTGTCCACCATCACGTTAGCTGAATAGTTGTCAAATCTGTGGGGCGCGGGCAAGACAGAAGGGTCAGTCTCCCGCCCCAGAGCCCGGGGCCCTAGTCCAGGCCCAGGTTGCTGGAAGCGGAGACCCAGAGAGGGCCTGCAACAGGACCAGAGTCACACAGCACCACGCAATTAAGTGGGTTTTCTTTTTCCCCATTACTGATTCGCAACATAAAAAATCAAAAACTCGGGTAAGCATAGAGCAGCGGTTCTCAACCTGTGGGTCGCGACCCCTTTGGCGGTCGAACGACCCTTTCACAGGGGTGGCCTAAGACCATCCTGCATATCAGATATTTACATTATGATTCATAACAGTAGCAACATGACAGTTATGAAGTAGCAACGAAAATAATTTTATGGTTGGGTCACAACATGAGGAACTGTATTTAAAGGGCCAGAAGGGTGAGAACCACTGGCACAGAGGGAAACATTGTCTCGATCGTTTTCCTGCCCTCACCTGTTCTTTGGAGAGGCGGTTTTTCAAGGCTGCATAATATTCCCTCCAAGGTTTGATCGGACTAAATGTACCCACCTCCTGTGCTGGACATTGAGGCTGGTCACCCAGTATTTGCTGAATAAGAACTTATCCCCGTCTTAGGTTGGGTCTCCCCGGAAGCAAACCCGGGGGTGAGGGGTGGTACAAGTGGTTTATTTGGGAAGTGAGTCCAGGCAGCTACAGGAGGCCAGTGGGGAGGAGAGGAAGGGCAGCAGCAGACATAGGGTGAGCTAGTGGGCCAGTGGGGCTCCGGCCAGCCAGGGCGCCCGGGAGACAGCGTGGGCCATGCTAGGGCGCCCCCCAGAGGGGGCAGGAGCTGGGGTATTGCCCACCCTCTCCATCTTCCACTTTTAGAGGGATGTCCTGGGATGTTGTTTCCCTTGTTATCCAACCCACACTGAAGCTGTCAGTCACAGGAGGTTTGGGGAAATGCCATTGGCACATGCTGGACAGACACATGCCAAAGGGTGGCATGGGCACCAACAATGACCCCTGAAATCTCCCTGCCAGTACCAGCGAGGCCTCCGGGCAATCTAACAAGCTGACAGATTTAAAAAAACACACAACAAAAAACAATTCAACAGTATTTTTCACTACACACATTCCTGAGAAGAAGGTGCTGGTTCCTCATGCCATGGGATGTCACCTTCTCCATGCAGCCCTCACGGAATGCTGCTCAGTGACAGGCCGCAGAGCCCTAATGCTCCAGAATAACTCCAAAGACACCTGTCCTGAGAAAGACCCCACATACAAAAAAAAAAAAAGTTAACAGCCTAACTTTTTTTAAAATCCTCACCCAAGGATATGTCTATTGACTGAGAGAGAGAGAGAGAGAGAGAAGAGAGAGAGAGAGAGAGAGAGAGAGAAACACACACACCCACACATCGATGTGAGAGACAAACACTGATCAGTTGCCTCCTCTATGGATTGAACCCACAAACCAGGTATGTGCCCTGATGGGGAATAGAACTCACACCTTTTGGTGTGTGGGATGACCCCCAACCAACTGAGCCACCCAGCCAGGGCAACAGCCTGGCGCGTTAACACACTGCACTTGGGGAGTGATCCTGGTTACTCTCAGCTCCTCAGAAGGCCCTGCTCCCTCCTGCCTGGAACGATCTGCAAACTCCTCCCTGACTTCCCACTCTCCTTCCTCCCTCTGCTGGGCTGACTCTTACACAACCCCTCCTCCAGCCTTATCTCAATGCCACCTCCTCCAGGAAGCCTTTCCTGATTCCCAGCCAGGTTGGGTCCCAACCAGTAATCTGTGGTGAACTCAGCATCTCAAAAGCAGGAGCTTGTTCCTCACTGCACACTGAGGCCAGCACCGTGTTTGGCACATAGTAGGTACCTACTCTGGGCACCACCCATACCACTGGGGTTTCAGGTCCAAGGAGACACCACTGGGCACGACGGGAAAAGAAGTGTCTGTGTTGTCTTTGGCTTCTTTCAGGATGAGCTTGGGACACTCTCTTCTCTGATGTTCCAGTCTGAAACTCTGGTGCCCAAAAGCCTCCCCAAATTCCTGAGCCAAAGGTGTCTGCCTTCTCCGGGTCACCCCCTAGGGTCTCATGGGCTGTGGTCTGGCAAGGGCGGGAGGGCTGCATCCTAGGATCTGTAGCCACACCGAGCACCTACTCTGGGGCCGGGCAGAGGGCTAGGGGCCTTCATCCCATAGGTCATGAAGTCCAGGGTGACCCAAGACCAAAGGACCTCAAGTTCCTCCCAGTAGAGAGATGAGGAAGCCGAGGCCCCAAGACCAGGCAGCTCATAAACAAGAACCTGAACCCTGCTTCTCCCATGACCCCCATTAGGGAACCTGGGGCCAGCCGTCTGGGATCCATCCCCCAGAATCGGGAGGGAACAGAGATCTCCTGGTAAAGCCTTGTCCGGGCTGTGTGACCCTGGGTGAGCAACCCAGCCTCTCTGAGCCTCGCTGTCTTCATTGTGAAAAAGCCCTATCTCTTGGGACCATTGGGAGGCTCCAAAGAGACAGAGGACATTAAAGCCACCCCGTGGGGAGATGCTGAGCCGCTGAGTGACCTTGTGATCACTGCCCCTGCACACGCTCCACTATCCCCCCACAGAGGACCAGCGGTCAGGGCCGGGATGTCTGCGGGGACTCGCCAGGGACCTGCAGCTCCCGGGGGTCCCCCTGACTCCACAGGCGGCCTCGGCGAGAGGGCCTCACACACCACTGTGCCCAGCCCTCGATCCCGTTGCCAGAGGAGGACATGGGCTCAGAGGCAGGAAGGGGCTTGCCCAAGACCTCACAGTTGGTGGCAGAGCCTGGACTGGATCCTGTTACCCAATTCAGAGCCCGTGTGGCAAGGGTCGCTGCAACTTCACGGCTGGGGACTCGGTGGAGTTTGAGCTGGGGCCTGGGGGCTGACTGCGAACTCTGGGGAGGGCAGGGAGCGCCCATTTGCTGAGCACCCAGGGGCGCCAAGTGCTGCTCCAGGCCCCGCATGTCTCGATCATTCCAGTGCACCTGCCATTGTCCCCGTTTTACACACGAGGAAAGCGAGAATCAGAGACTGGGAGTTCCCTGCCCGCCGTCACACAGCCGGGAGGTTTCCACCCAGAGTCTGTGCGGCCTCTTTCTGCACTCGCCAGCCCTGACCCTAGACTGGAATGGAGGAGGAAAAGGGGGGCGGGTGGCGGGTGAAAGGGGTGCCCTAGTTCCAGCACCTTCTCAGGGCAGACTGCAGCTTGACCTGCCTGACGAGCTCAGCTCTGTTCCAGCAGCTGGTGGGACGGACAGACAGACGAGGACAGGGCCCTGACGGCCCAGAGCTCCCATCCCAGGAGTCAGGGGGACCGGCTATGAAGGACGTCAAGGGGCCCGGGTGGAGGGAGGGACCACCTGGAGGACAGAGTCCAGGGGGGTGATACCTGGGTCAGGAACTGAATGGTGGGGAGGGGAGAGCACAGAGGCCTGTGGGAGCTGGCGTGTGTGGGGTGATGGGAGAGGTGGGGGCGGCATTCCGGGCTTTGGATGCCAGGGTAGGAGATGGGCTTGAATGGTAACGGGGCCAAGAGCTTTTCACGTTTGAAAGCTCAGCTGGGCTTCCATTTGAGAACGGCTATAAGGAGACGTGGTGGGAAGGGGAGACCCCCTGGCCACAGGTCTCCCTGCCATGTCTTTGCATCCCCAACATCGAGAGAGGTTTGGTCTCCCCATTAGTGAAATGGGGGTCTGAGCAAACCCGCCAGTCCCTACCCCAGAAGCTCTTCTGACCTCTATCCTGTCCAGCTGCCTGTTTCCCCAGCCCCGCTCCCCTGCTGCCCCCGCCCTTCAAGGGCTCAGTATAACCTATGCCCCCCCCTCCCCGCAGGGGCACAGGCGTGGCCCCAGGAGCCGCTCCGGGCCTGTCCGAGCTGAGCCCCTCTCTAACGGGGGTGGCAGGCAGGGCTGGTCACACACTTCGCAGGGTCCGGTGCAAAATGAAAACACAGGACCCCTTGTTCAAAAATTAAGAATTTCAAGACGAGGGGATATGAGAGCATTAAACCAAATGCAGCCCCTTCCACGCGCACGGGGTCCCTGCAGCTGCAGGGACAGGGCGTGGTGAAGCCGGCCCTGGTCTCTGACCAGCTCCTCAGTCCAGCGGGTGGACCTCGTCCAATCCGTTCTGGCTGTTCTGCAAGGCTTCCCAGGCCAAGCGACATCACCAGCGGCCAGTCTCTCCGAGTTGCTGAGAGCACCTGCCCCCCGAGAACACACCTTCCGTCTCCCTGGACAGGGGAGGGAGCCGGGCAACGAGCTGGGCGTCTCCCAGCCCCCACTTCCTACAGAAAGGAAAGCTGAGGCTCAGAGAGAGGATGTGACTGGTGTAAGGGCCCTCAGCAAGCGTGCCCTCCAGCCCAGCAGGGACAGGCCGAGGCAGGAACACACTCAGGTGACCAGGCCTCCTGCAGCAGCTGCCTCCCCCTGACGGATGCCTGCTTCCGGCTCCGGTCCGAGCCAGCCCTCCCTCCGCTGGGAGGTGCCGTCACCGTTTGATAATTGATGGTGACCTGGCAGATGAGGGCGAGTGTGGGGAGAGGTGTGCGCGGGCGCCACGCTATGGGGAGGCGGGACCAAGCTGGGGCAGTTGTGGGTTTTCCAGGCTCCCCGTCCAGGTGTCCCTGCCCTGTCCTGGCTGCCTGCGCCCCGCTCCTGCCTGGGCCGGGTCAGTGTCTCAGTTGAGGGAACTCAGGGCACCCGGGAGCCTGGAGGCAGGCCCCTGAGTGGCCGGGAGCTTCCTCTTCCTCCTGGGTGACCTGGTATCGTAATTCCCAGCTCCCATGAGGGTCAAATGATGTTTTGTGAGGCCAGCATGCAACAGGCCCTCAAAGGATGGCAGCTGCAATCAGTCCTACAGCCCCCCACGAAGTTCAAGTCAGGAAAACTCAAACATATCTCCTGTGTGTGAGACAAGGTGTAGGTTCCACTGAGCGTAGACACTGCGAGAGGACAGTGGGCTGGCCTGAAAGGCACTGGGCTGGGGGCCCTGCATTCCCCAGGCTCATGGTCAACGGTCAAATGACGTCATTCTGGGGAGTGAGAGACCCTGCAGGCTAGATCAGGAAGGCTTCCTGGAGGAGGGGGCCCTAGAGCTGGGGCTGGCGGGCGTAGCCATGTGGACGTGTGAAGAACAGGTACCCAAGGCAGAGGGGACAGCAGGGCAAAGGCCCCGAGCGGCAGTGGAAATGCCCAGGAGTGTGTGGTGAACTGAAGGGGCCGTGAAGCTAGGCAGGGAGGTTGGGAGAAGACCACACAGAGCCTCGGATGCCGAGCTAAGCGCTGGGAAGTTGCCCTGTGAGTGATGGGGGCCCCTGGGGACCGGCAGGGGAGGGGCTGGTGCTTCCCCCTTATCCTTCCTTCCTGAGTCTGGCACCCACACTTTGTCACAAACATGTCAAATGACAACTCCGACTCCGCATCTGACAGAGGACGGCCTCTGATTGGCCTCCAGAGGGCACTGCCCTCTCCCGCGACACACACGTGCCTCCTGGTATCTCTGCTCCTTGTGACCAAACCCCTCGATCAGATCATCTCCTTCCCCACCCTGCCCCTCTCCTCCCCTTCGCTGCCCCAGCCCCTCTTCCCTCCCTGCCCCTGCTCAGCCTGGCCCCCCATCTCCCTTTTCCTTGAGGCCCTCTCGAAGGCCACCCGCTCCCCTTCAGCACCCCCCACCCCGACACGGTCTCTCTCCTTTTAGGAGCCCCCAGCCTTGCCCCCTGACCGTTCATCTCGGCCTCGGTGGCCGCCTCCCCAGCCAGATCCTTAGGGGCCCTGCCAGGCAGACCGGCTGGGGCATCTCCCGGTTGCTGGACCCCAAGTGCCCACACGTGGCTGGCACACAGAAGCGCCTGAAAAGGGGGTGGGCTCGAGATGCGTGTCGCCCCGCCCTCCCGGTGCCCGCCCACACGGAGACTCACACGGTGGGGATGTACTCTCCTGGGAAGGCATTGGTGGTGTAGCTGATGAGGAGGCAGGTCTTGCCCACGGCTCTGAAAGACAGGAAGTTCCGGAGGGCGTCAGTCACAGGCCCGGCCTGGTCCCCGAGCCCAGCCCTCAGGAAAGACCCAGGCTCACCCCTCTGGGCCTCAGTTTCCCCATCTGAGGATCCCCGTGTCAGTGTTCTCAAACCTGAGAACCATGGAGTCATCGGGGTGCTTGTCAAAGGGCAGACTCCAGGCCCCACCCCAGAGAGTCTGACCCGCGGCTGGGGGCGGAACTGGGAACCTGTGTTTTGAAAAGCTCTCCCAGGTGGCGCTGATGGGGGACCGAGGGTTAAGAGCAGAGGGTGCCCAAGACACCCCTGAACTGGACAATGCCGCAGGGACTCCCGAGCTTGACCAGGGCTCTGCCCTCACACCTGGTCCACCCCCTGCCTGTGGCACCAACTTGGGCCAGTCCGTTCATCTCTCTATGCCTCAGTTTCCCCATCTAGAAAACAGGGGTGAGTCCCTCCTCAGAGGAATGTGCTGAAAAGGAAATTAGACGAAGCCCATAAAAAACCAAGCGCAGTACAGGGCCCGGCTGTTGGGGAAAGCCTGCCCTGCCCCCACCATCCTGCCTCATCAGCGAGCACAGCAGTTCAGAGCTCAGAGCTTTGGAGTCAGAGAGACCTGGCTTCCAATCCCGTAAGGTCTTGGACAAATTAATTTCTTTGAGCTTCAGTTCTCCCACCTGTTCAATGGGCCTAATATCAGGGTTGGTGAGAGGATAAAACAGAGGGGTGTGACTGAGCCCAGGGCCCGACACATAGTAAGTGCTAAGCAAATAGTGCTGGCCCTTGAGTCACGCTGTCTTCCCAGGGCCTGCTGGGCTGGGAGGGGACACAGGTGGAAGCCCAAGGGGCAGGCCAGGCTGTCCCCCCTGCCTCCACTGCACTGTTTCGTCACTTCCTGTTCTGAGGAGCTGGCTGCCTGTCCCCCCTCCCCAACCCCCGCCCCCAGGGCCTGCCAGCAAGGTAACTTTAAATGACTGGAACGTTGCCCTTGGCTTCCGCCCTGACCTCCTCAGATCAGATACAAAGCAGAAGTGGGCAGGCAGGGAGATAACGTCCCGGCCAGCGGTGCCTCAGAATCAGCTGAGGGCAGCCTGATCAGTGGGCCCGCCCCCTCGGCCCATCAGAGTCAGAGTAAGCCGGGGCCCCAGGTACCCGGGCCGGGAAAGATCGGAGTCTCTCAGGGCCTCAGGCTGCCCATCTGTGGAATGGGAGAGTTGGACAAGAAGCCTGCCCAGCTGGAACGTGCTGGGCTGGGCCTATGGAGAACCAGGACGAACCAGTGGCTGGACCCTGAGCACTGTTGCTAGGAGGCATTTGGACCTGTCACCTCACAGCTCAGGAAACTGAGGCCCACCGAGGGCATGACAACCCAGAAGGCGCCTCAGCCCAGCCTGTCCCAAACTGACCCCCGCAATCACATCTCTTCTGCCCGCCTCCTCCCCTGATCGTCTCTCATGTCCCTCCTTCTGCTTCTCACCCACATCCCCCCACATCCTCCCAATGGGGCCGCTGCGGGGGAGGGGAGGCGGCGGCGTTTACTGAGCACATACTATGTGCAGGACAGTCCCTCAAAATGCCTGAAGTGAACCCCACCAACTCTGGTGGGAGATCCCAGACGGCCAAGCCGAGGTTCAGAGAGGCCCTGTGACTTACCCAAGGCCACACAGCAGCATTAGCCAGGGACGAGAGCCCAGATCAGCCTGGGAACAAGGGCCAGCTTTTGGCTCCCCACCCTCCACCTGCATCCACAGAGCTGAAGACGGAGGTCCCATGGGAGGCCTGCCCCGGCCCCCGAGGTACTGGCGAGGGGCCCAGGCACCGCCACCCGCAGTCCTATGCCCTCCACCCAGGAGGCTCCCGGGGTGAGGTGGACGGAGAGAGTGAGGTGTCCTCACCCCACCCCAGGGGCTCCCTCTGGCTCCGGGGAGAAGGGACAGGTCCTCCTGACTGCCTCCGGGGCTCCCACAGGTAAGGGGGCTTCCTGGGGACACCTGTGCGGGAGGGTCTCAGGGCTCCCCGGTGGGGGCTGTGAGGAAGGTCAGCCAGGTACCTACCCATCTCCCACCACCACACATTTGATGGCCTGCATCGCGTCGGGACCTGGGGCGGCGGTGACGGCGGAGCGTCTTCGGCACCAGGGAGTGGAGAGCCTGGTAGGCGCCCCGCGGAGCAGCAGCAGCGGGACCGAGGCAGGAGGAAGCGGAAGGGGAACTTGCCCAAGCTGCCCTCCCAGCCGTTTGCAGAAGGCGGAGCGTGCGGTCTGGCGGAACAGCTGGGGGTGGAGGGGCCCTCAGGTGCTGGGCTGGGCCCTGGCCACCCCCGCGGCCATCCCTGCTCTGGGGCACTCGCTGGAGACCTAGGGACCCTCTCAGCTGGGGACTCACTTCCACGGGCAAGGCCAGAGCTGTTCTCCAAGAACTTGAGGTTTCCAAGAATTTAGTTGGCACTCAATTTAAGCAATAAGCACTGAATGAGCATCTGCTGTGGGCCAGGCTCAGTATCAGGTAGTGGTGAGTCCAGGTGGCCGGGTCCTGGGGAAGATAGGGCCTCGTCACGGTTGTCCATCGAGGCCGGAAGGGATGGGGCCACAGGGGACCTACCGGTTGGGGACCTCAGCGTGCCACAGAGGGAGAGCGGGAGGCCCGGAGGTGGCGTGCAAGCCAGCCCTTGAAAGGTGGTGAGGGAGAGAGGGTGCTCTGGGGAGGGGGTGCCTGAGCCAGACACTGAGGCTCCCCCCAAAGAGAGGCCGGCGTGGGAACCCCTGAGCAGGGAAGGATGGGAGATGGGGGGGTTGCTGAGGCAGGAAGGGAGGTGGGGTGAGCTCACAGAGAAGGGGAAATAGAAGGGAAGTGACAGGCCGTGCCCTGTGCTGGAGGCAGCCCTGTGGGCCCAGGCACCTTGGCGTTAAGTCAGATCCGTGGCCGATTTTAAAGATGCAGAAGCAGAGGGTCTGAGAAGTCAGGTGACTCCACACCCTCCCGGCACCGGCACCGTGGCTGCTGCGGGCGGATGGGGGGTGGCCCCTCAGCGCGGCAGACTCGGATCTGAGCTGCACTGAGTCTCCCCAGCGGGTTCCACGTTCACCTGGTCCTCACCACTCGCTGCCGTGGCTCCGGGGACCGGGGTGGGAGGACATGGGCAGAGCCGCTGGTCACCCGCCTGGACCCACTCGGGGCAAACCGGGAACCCGCAGGAGTAAGGAACTCAGGGGTCAGCAGGGTGCCCGCGTCCCTCCCACTCCCCACCCTGGGGACAGAGCCCAGGACTCCCCCAGGCACCCAGGCGGAAGCTTCCAGAACCATCCACACAAGCCGAGGGGCTGGCACAAAGGGCTTTTGCAGAAGGAAATGCGGCTCCCAGGGCCCGCTCCTACACTTGGCCAGTCAGTTATTAACCCAGCCAGTGGCCTGGGCGCAGCGCTCAGCTGGTTGGGCGTCGTCCGTGGAGGGAACTGTCAGGGCGTAGGCCCCGCTGCGGGCTCCATCGCCAGTAGGGGGCGTGCAGGAGGCAGACAATGGATGTTCTGCTCTCACATTGATGTTTCTCTCTCTGTCCCTCTCTCCTCCTCTGTCTCTAAAAATCAATTCGAATATTTTTTTTTAAAAAACAGCCAATGCACTTCCAAGTCTTTGCTCTGTGCTTTGCACAGGCTGAGCTGAGGCGGTGCCGGCAGGAAGCGCTGCAGGGCACCCAGCCCAGGTCAGGAAGGCCCAGGGCCAGGCCCCCCCCCCCAACCCTCACCCCATGACCCAGCCGGGGCTCCGTCCTCCCAGGCCACCTGACAGCTTTATTCTGGGTCCTCCCCCATATCCACATTCTTTTCCCAACCACTGCTATAGGGCAACCTCTGTATTAACCTTAAAAAAGATAGCAGTGTACTAAATGCAATGTGCTATCCCAGGCTAAATCCTGGAACAGAAAAAAAAACAAAAAAACGAACAAACAAACAAAAAACCTAGTGGGAAAAGTAGTAAAATCCAAAACAAATAAAAATTTGCTTCACAGTATGGTACTAAAACTAAAGTGAATTTCCCGGGTTTTTTGTTTTTTTAGTTTATTTTTTTAATCCTCACCCGGTTTGATTCCGGTCAAGGACATGTACCTCGGTAGCAGGCTCCTCTCCGGCCCGGGCCCTGGTCGGGGCTCCTGCAGGAGGCAACCCATCGATGTGTTTCTCTCACATCAATATTCCTCTCTGTCTTTCCCTCTCTCTTCCACTCGCTCTAGAAATCAGTGGGAAAATATCCTCGGGTGAGAATTAAAAAATAAAAGTTCGCTGTTGACATTCAGGTCTCTACATGCTTGGGATGGATTTTCGGGCAAGGTGAGCTATGAACGTCTTCTGTTCTGTGAGATATGGATTCCGTTTAGTCCCCTCCATGACCAAGGGTCCAGCACCATTTATTGAGGCTCCCCCTGCCTCTTCCCGATGAGCTGTGCGCGTCTCTTCCTAGCTTCTCTGCCTCTCGGTCTATCTGCCCGCCCTGCAGCCAGCACAGCGCGGCCTCGGTTACCGAAATTCTGTGTCAGGCCCTCCTACCCCGCAGGGCTAGGCCTCTCTCTTGAACTTTTTCAAAATTGTTCGTTTTCGCTGACCATCTGCTCTTCCACAGACGTTTTAGAACAGCGGTTCTCAACCTGTGGGTCGCCAACCTGTGGGTCGCAACCCCTTTGGGGGTCGAACGACCCTTTCACAGGGGTCGCCTAAGACCATCGGAAAACACATATATAATTACATATTGTTTTTGTGATTCATCACTACGCTTTAATTATGTTCAATTTGTCACAATGAAAATACATCCTGCATATCAGATATTTACATTACGATTCATAACAGTAGCAAAATTACAGCTATGAAGTAGCAACGAAAGTAATTTTATGGTTGGGGGTCACCACAACATGAGGAACTGTATTAAAGGGTCGCGGCATGAGGAAGGTTGAGAACCACTGTTTTAGAATAAGCTCACCAAGTTCCGAGAAAAGCTACGCCAGGAGTCTCATTACAATTCTGTTCAATTAGGGGAGCTGGGCAGAGTGGACCTCTCTGTAAACTCAGCCCTCCCACCCGCGGACACGTTCCATTTCCTCTTTACGTCTTTCGATAAAGTCTTGTCCCTCCCCCGCCAGGAAGGTCACGCACATTGTTTTCATAAGATGATTCCTTGATGCCGAGTCACATTCAGGGTGATGGTAACGGGCACTTTTTAAAATTGCATTTTCCGTCGGTTGCTTACACGCAGGAAAACTGTCAAATTTTGCATCATGGACTTATCTAGATGGCCATTCTTATTTTAGGGAAGCTCGTATAGATGTGGAAGTGCTTATCGGGAGCTTTTGCTACTGACAAGCCCGAGACCGTCTTTGTAGACAGTCTTCTCACTTGTAACGAGTGGCAGTTTTATTTCTTCCTTCCCGATTTTTATAGCGTTACTTCCCCGGGTCGTCTGGAGCCTTCGCGGCCGCACTGAGTGGCATCAGGGACGGCGGGCACTTTGTCTTACGTCTGATGGTGAGGCGTGGGTCTGGGTGTCAGCATTGAACGTGATGTGGGCCTTGGCAAACATTCTGCTCAGTTAGAGGAGGTTCCTGCTACTCTCACTCACGACAGTTTGTTTTGTTTTGATCTTGAGTGTTTAATCTTATTGCATGTTTGTTTCTTTCCCTGTGTCTATGGAGATGTTGTGAATAACGTCAATCCAGTCTCCATTGTGCAGTGGCCCGTCCTGCCTGCAGAAACCTGACTTAGTCACTCCAGGGGACGCTGCTGACGGTCCCCGGCCGTCATCCTCCGCTTCTCCTTTTAATGGCAGAGCCCCAGGGCTCGCAGCCGGCTCTCGGCCGCTGAAGAGCACATCTCTCAGTCCTCCTTGCAGCGAGGTGCGGCCCCATGATTAAGTCTGGGGGTAGGGGGGGCGGGGAGGGCATAAATGGAAGGGATGGGCACAGCGCCTGAGTCACCATCTCCGTGAAGGCTAAGCCTTGTGCTGTGCATCTTTTGTCCCTGTGCCCCGCTGACTAGGAAACAGAAATGCTGGCGAAATCCTGATGTGTAGGGGATGCAGGTCAGGACCACTCACCTCTGGACGGAGGAGCGAAATACACTTTGCCTTTAAGCCACTGTGGCCAGGCCGGTGTGGCTCGGTGGTTGAGCATCGACCTATGAACCAGGAGGTCACGATTTGATTCCCGGTCAGGGCACATGCCCAGGTTGCTGGGCTCAATCCCCGGGTCAGGAGGTAGCCGATGGATGATTCTCTCTCATCATTGATGATTCTATCTATCTCTCCCTCTCCCTTCCTCTCTGAAATCAATAAAAATAAAAATAAAAATAGAAATAAGCCACTGTGTTATAGGGTCTTTCTGTTACAACAGCTTCAAGTAACGAATGCAGTCATGATGACTGTCTCTTATACATCGCTGGCTTCAAATTGCCTGACTGGGGACACGGTATGAAGAGAATACTCATCAGTGTAAGGCCAGTAATCTTCCTTTCTCGTATTGTCCTTGTCCTTACGTGGGGACAGGAGAAGGGTATAAAGTTTCATTAAGTGAGCTGGCGATAGTATCTCTCTTTCTATTTTTAGAGAAGTTTGGATAATACAGATTTATCTCTTCCTCGAACATGTTATAGCATTTGTAAAGCCATCTGGGCCTGGTTTTGAAATTATGTGGGAGGAGGAGGAGATAGACTTTAAACTAATTCAGTGTTTTTAAAGGCTATAGGACCATTTGGAATTTCTATTACTTCTTAGTCATCCTTTATATATTTTTCTAGAAATACTTTGTATATTTTTCTATTTTGCTTGGGTTTTTTTAACTTGTTGATATAAAGCAATTCATAGCATTTTCATACGTCCTTTTAATCGCTCCTTTTTAATTTTTGTTATATTCCTCTTTTTCATCCTATATTAATTATTTTTGCTTCCAGCATTTGTTTTTAATTCCTCTCAAAATTTGCTAATTATATTCATCTTTTCAATGAACCAACTTTTGGCCTTGTTAATTGTTTCTACGATACAATTTTATTCCATTTATTTAAATTCTGCTCTCATCTTTATTATTTCCTTTTTGCTTTGGGTTTCTCCTATTGTTCTTACTTCACTTTTGAGTTTTGAATGCTTAGTTCATGAATTTTCAACCTTGTCTTATTCCTAATGTAAGCTCTTAAGGCTCTAAATTTTCCTTTAACCACAACTAACTTTTTAAAAATTGTG